AGCCTCCACCAAAGGCACATTAATGGATAAGCTCTTCATCATGTCAATGAACTTTTTGAACTGATTCTCCTTTTTTTGCTTTGCTAGCTTCTAAGGATAAGGTGGAAGTGGTCTAGGCAAGGGTGCCTTTGCTTTTGGCACAACTGGCTCCAGCATATCTATTACGTGTTCCCTAGACAGGTTCACGTCATTTTGTGTTTCCACCTCGGCACCTTGAATATCAATCCTCACTTCTTCATTCGTATTTTCATCAATAACATTTTCAACCACCAAAGGCACTTCATCTTCTTGCAACTCAACTTCATCACTCAAAATTTGCTTTTGTTTGGAGGCATTCAAATCACTGCCTCGTCCACTCCTTGTAGTTACCGCCATAACATGATTGTTCCCACCCTTTGGGTTAACTACTGTATCACTCGGTAGAGCCCCCTTAGGGCGAGTATTCAAAGACTGTGAGATTTGGCCTAGCTGAACCTCCAAATTTCTGATTGAAGTGTTGTGAGATGCCAACTGCGTATCGGAGTCAGCATTCTTCTTCATCATCTGTTCAAACATCATGTCAATTCTCCCCATGTCATTGTTGGAAGAACTAGGACCCTGGGATGGAAAAAGCGGTGGATTGCTCGGTTGTTGATACATTGGGGGCCTTTGAAAGCCTTGACCCTGATTTCCCTGGTTGTTGTTGTTCCATCCACCCTGGTTGTTGTTTCCACCCCAATTGTTGTTGTTGCTCCAGTTTCCTTGATTGTTCCAATTGTTGTCTTGATTGCCCCAATTCAGATTTTGATTATTATTGCCCCAATTGTTGTTCCCTTGTTGTTGATTATTCCAATTGTTGTTGCCTTGTTGTTGGTTACCCCAATTGCCTTGGGATCTCCATTGTTGCTGTTGGTTAGAAGAATTGCCCCTTTGGCCTTGATAATTATTCACGTATTGTACCTCTTCGTTCTGCCCATCATAACCATCATCTTGGAATCCACCACAATCATTGTCAAATTGATCCGAACTCCCTTGGTTCTGTTGACCTCTTTGTCTTCTATTGTTCACTAGCATGTTGACACCCTCCATGGCATTCACTTGGTGAGGATTTTGAACTTATTGCAACTGTGCCTTTGCTAATTGGTTCATTGTTGTTGTAAGTTCTGCTATAGCCTGCCCATGGTCATGTAGTTCTTTGTGCAAGTGAGTGACCGTGGAGTCACCCTGTGGCACATTGTCTCTACTTTGCCAAGCGGAGGACGTGTCAGCCATGTCATAAAGAACGGCACAAGCTTCATCGTAAGGCAGCTTCATGAAGTTACCCCCAACAAGTTGGCTCACTATGCATTGATTCGTTGTGTTGATGCCCTGGTAGAAGGTCTGTTGTATCATTGCCTCTGTCATATCATTGTTGGGGCATTCCTTCACCATGGTTCTATATCTCTCCCAAATCTCGTGTAATGGTTCGGTGGGCTCCTGCTTGAAAGCTAATATCTCATCCCTCAATGCTGCCATGTACCCCGGTGAGAAAAACATGGCAAAGAACTTATCCGCCAACTCATCCCAAGCAGTGATGGAATGGTTGGGAAGTCTCTCAATCCAATCCAATGCCTTCCCTCTAAGTGAAAATGGGAAGAGTCTCAACCGAAGTGCATCCTCGGACACATTGGTTTACTTGCTCCCCCAACAGGTATACACGAACCCCTTGAGATGTTTGTAAGCATTATGAGTGGGAGCACCCGTGAAATACCCTCGTTGCTCCAACAATGTCAGCATAACATTAGTAATTTGGAAATTTCCCAATCGGATCCGGGGCGGGACAATTGCACTAGCAAAGCCTTAGTTGGGAAGTACTCGAGGAGCCACTCTTGGAGGTGGCGGAAGAGGGTCTGGAATATTTTCATTTGCATTGGCCTGGCGGCCTCTACATTGTCCTTGAGGTACAAGAGGCACCTCATCATCTCTGACATCATCTACCTCCTCCCCCGCAACTACATTTCCAAGAGGGTCATTGTTGTTTGCTGCCATTTTGTACCTGGAGTTGTGACACACAAATTAGTAACGTAGAAGGAAAGAAGAACAATACACAAAACTATTTAGATAGATAGCCAAGACCGTTAGCTCCCCGGCAACGACGCCAAAAAGTGATCGAGGCCAACCCTGTACTACTATGAAATAGCAAAAGTGGTCAAAGCAGCTTTTACCCGAGAAGGTCGGGATCGATTTCCACAGGGAGCTAGAGATGGGAATTGGGTTTATATCTAAATTGGAGTTGCGTAATTGTTCCTAATTGCACTTCTAAACATATTTGGTTTTGATATTACTTCTAAGTTTATACTACTAAGATGTTAAATTAAGCTAAGAGAATATTATTGAAGGTTGTCTAATTAGTTAAAAGGCACTAGGGGAGTGACTTTCTCCTAGGTGGATACTTGACGGGTTCTCGTGTCTAAAGCTAGGTTGTCATATTTGGGGATTACGATATAACCATTGCACGATGCTACTCACTCTATACCACTCGGTAGTTCGAGTGATTTTGCCCTAATTGACTTTCTCAAGATCAATTGGGTATGATCATTTGTGCAAGCAATTGAGGTTCAAGTCAGGTATTATGATCTCTCGGTTTAACCCTTTAATTGGGGCTATCAATATCTTGAGTGCACCCTAATTCCTTGTTGGACTAATTTTTATAGACTTAGGCTCTCTTTCTCAAGAAGAGCCCAAGTCAACTAGGCATAAACTAGTATTTGCAACCACTAATTCAACATTAAAACCATAAATTAGACCGAATATCGAACAACCATAGACATTCAAGCCTTAAAAAACAAGACCCATCAATTACCCACACTAGGGTTGAGCCACAACCCTAGCTGATAGGTCTAGCTACTCATGATAATAGAGGAAAACAAAGAAATAGATGAAGAAAAACCCATAATAATTAATTACTAACTGAAACTTGAAGATTCAATGATAAAACTATTGTAAAATTACTCAAAACGGTAAAAGAACACTGTTCACGAGCACAGCTCAACTTAAAATTATAATTGATGGCCTAAAAATGGGAAAAGAAACTATTTATACTAGGCCAAAAATTCTGGACAAAAATACCCCTACGGGGCTAGTGCGGACTGCACAAAATCGAGTGCGGCCGCACTAAGGCTCTTGGCTAAAATTTCTGCTCTCTGAACTTGACCACCGCGGGCCGCACAAAATGCACCGCGGCCGTGGTGGCTCCTGTTGCGGTCCACACAAAATGGAACGCGGACCGCATTGGCAATGTTCCTCCAACTTGACAACTCTCTGAACTTGAGCTTTGCGGACCGCACAGAAACGAGTGCGGCCGCAATGAAGTCAATGCGGACCGCACAGAATGGAGTGCGGCCGCATTACTTGGCTACCTGAAATGAGCACTCTCTGAACCTCTTCTTTGCGGACCGCACAGAATGGAGTGTGGCCGCATTGCTTTGCTGCCTGAGATGAGTACTCTCTGAACCTCTTCTTTGCGGACCGCACAGAATGGAGTGCGTCCGCATTGGTCCTGTTATACTGAGCTTGGACTTGTTCTTGGTACTTGTGCATGTTTCACTCCTTTTTGAGCTGGTTTTGATGAATTTTCACCTTGTTGATCAAACCCTGCAATCAAGTACAACACGTAAGCCTTTGGGACTATTTTGTACACATTTCTAATCAAAACTCAAGTAAAAAAGGAGTGTAGAATGCATCATAATCCCTAGTTATCAATTTTTCTAAAATTTCTTCTCCTTTGTGCAGGCTTCTTGAGAAAGATGTCCCCTTCAAGTTTGATGATGCCTGTCTGAAAGCATTTGAGGAGATGAAGGGAAGGTTGGTGACTGCACCAATTATCATTGCCCCGGATTGGTCACAGCCATTTGAGTTGATGTGCAATGCAAGTGACATAGCAATCGGAGCTGTTTTGGGGCAAAGGAGGGATAAAATCTTTCACTCCATTTATTATGCGAGAAAAACTCTGAATCCAGCCCAGATGAACTACACTGTTACTAAAAAAGAGTTGCTTGCAATGGTATGGGCGTTTGACAAGTTCAGATCCTATCTAGTGGGAACCAAGGTAATTGTCTACATAGATCATTCAGCTATCAGTTACTTGTCTGAAAAGAAAGATGCCAAGCCGAGGCTGATTCGTTGGGTCCTCCTCTTGCAAGAATTTGACTTAGAGATCCGAGATCAAAAAGGGACAGAGAACCAAGTGGCTGATCATTTGTCCAGATTAGAAAATCGTAGCCATGTAGCTGAAGGAGGGTCGATCAGAGAAACATTTCCTGATGAGCAGTTATTAGCAATCACCTCAAATGAAGCCCCGTGGTATGCAAATTATGTGAATTTTATTGCAAGTGGGGTGACACCACCATAATTGATACCCAATGTAGACGAAGGTTCCTACATGATGTGAGGCTCTACATGTGGGATGAGCCATTCCTATATAGGTTGTGCGTAGATCAGTTGGTATGAAGGTGTGTCCCTGAGGAAGAGATGGATACAATACTGTATGACTGTCATGCTTCGCCATACAGAGGTCATCACGGTGGGGATAGAACCGCCCAAAAAGTGTTGCAAACGGGTTTCTATTGGCCAAAATTGTTTAAGGATGCACATGCCTTTGTTAAAAAAATGTGACAGGTGCCAAAGAACCAGAACAATCATGAAGAAGCACGAGATGCCTTTGCAAAACATTCTGGCTGTAGAGCTTTTTGATGTTTGGGGGATTGATTTCATGGGACCGTTCCCATACTCTAATGGTCACAGGTCTTGGTGGCGGTTGACTATGTGTCTAAGTGGGTGGAGGACATTTCTCTTCCTACTAATGATGCAAAGGTAGTGGTAAACTTTGTAAAGAAGCACATCTTCACACACTTTGGGACTCCAAGGGTGCTGATAAGTGACGGAGGAACTCACTTTTGTAGCAAATTGTTGAATAATGTTCTTGCAAAGTATGGAGTTAAGCACAAGGTTTTCACTGCCTATCACCCCCAACGAGTGGTCAAATGGAAGTGTCAAATAGAGAGGTGAAGCATATTCTGGAGAAAACAGTAAGTGGAAATAGGAAGGATTGGGCCGGAAAGCTAGATGACGCATTATGGGCATATCGAACTACATACAAGACCCCCATAGGTACTTCTCCATATAGGTTGGTTTATGGGAAGGCATGCCACTTGCCCGTCAAACTTGAACACAAATCCTATTGGGCGATTAAAAAGCTAAATGTGGATATGGACTTAGCTGGTGAGAAGAGGTTGCTGCAACTCACGAGCTTGATGAGTTCCGATTGCACGCGTATGAAAATGCCAAATTGTATAAAGAAAAGACCAAGAGGTGGCATTACAAGCACATCCAACATCGTGAGTTTGAGCCAGGTCAAGAAGTTCTCTTGTTTAATTCGAGGTTGAAGCTTTTCCCCAGAAAGCTTAAGTCTCGATGGGCAGGTCCTTTCGTTGTGGTAAGTGTGAGGCCTCATGGAGCGGTAGAATTGCGTGATACGAGCTCAAGTGGTACCTTCTTGGTAAATGGGCAGAGAGTAAAATATTATTGGGGAGGTGACATTGCACGTCACAAGACCTCGGTGGACTTGGCCGATACTTGAAAACGTGTTGACTCGTGCCGCGACGTTAAATCAGGCGCTTGTTGGGAGGCAACCCAATTTTTTGTTTTGTTTTTGTTTTTTTATGCTTCTAAACCTTTTAGAATATTTTAGATAATTATAGTTTAGGAGTTTTGAGTGTTGTTTGGGCAGGTACAAGCATGAATTGGACATAAAATAAGTACATAATAGAGTATGGGGTGCAACTCGTAAGCTAAATATCGAAAACAAGGCGAACTTCGTAAAAAGTGGCCTAGCTTGCCGCATGGGGTGTCGTGCCATGCGCCACGCCAGGATAAATAGCTCTCGGGATAAAAAATAACTGGCCTCTAATTAAACACACTACCGCGCCGCGCCCTGCGGACGCAGCAGTGTTAATTAAAAAAAAAAGTTTTTTTAGTCATTTTAATTAGAGACTACCTGTTCCTCACCCCCCCCCCCCTTTCTTTTCTCTTTCATTCTGCATCTCTAAACCCTCCCTAATTTCCCTATTCTCCCTCTTCTCAAATTCTTTCCATACATCCCTCCAATTCACTCTACTCATCTTCAAGGTAAGTTCTTCCTCTCATCTCTTCTTTTTTATTTTTGTAGTTGATTGAAGTATTTAAGTAGTTTTAGTTTATTTTAAACCAAACCCTAGGTAGATTTATTTGTGATTTTTTTTTGTTTCTTTGCATATTATGGCCGAAAATGGGGTTTAACTTGTGGGGTGCTTATTGTTCTTATGATAGTGGAAGATTTTTGGTGTGTTTTGATGGTGTGAGATTGAATTATGCTGAAGCTCGGTGGGGGTGCTCATGTGGCCTAAATTTAGTGAAGTTTGGTGAATTTGATTTATTTGATGCTATTATGAAGGTGTGAGGTGTATTTGTTTTGGTGTATGGTGATTTTACCCCAATTTGACTTAAAAGTAAGAAGATGCAAGATATGCCCACAATGTGTTTGTTGAAATGTCTCAGTGACACAAAACTGTATAAATGCATTCTTGTTAATCTTAATTCCATAGACATATAGGCATTAAGTTAGCTTAAATAGGCGAGTAATAACTCGACAGATTCTTATGAGTAATATCAACCCTGTCAATCAACAATCCAGATAAATCAATTCGTCATTGTAAGCCAAGAACGCAACATGATTGTAAGCTAACCGGTGACCCTCGAATATCCTCTCCTACTGATTGTTATCCGAAATTGCTTAAGTGTTGCGGTTGATTTCTAGTTATTTCATTGATTGATAGTTTTAGGTAGTAAATTAGTCAATTATATATTTTGAGAGAAATCTCTTGAACCAATAAGTTATTTGAGTTTGAATCAATCAAAAGTTAATCATAAGTCTTCGTGGGAACGATACTCTACTCAATTCTCTATTACTTGACGATCACGTATACTTGCGTGAGTGTGTTTGGTCGCAACACAAACTTATGCTATAATCAATCCAAAGCACTATATAATTTTATCTTCTTATTCCTTGATTTTATTGATGTTGTGCTCGGAAGCCTTGCTCCCGGAATTACTATTTCTACTATTTTGTCTTCATTTCAAGGCTAAGTATTGTGTATTTCTTCAATTATTTTATTATTTCAGGATTGAATTAATTCACTTGTCTAGAAACCACGTATAAATTCAACTGTACCGTTTTACGGGTAAATACTTTGGCGCCCACCGTGGGACCTGGACAGCCGTGTAATTAAGTTGATCCTTGCCTCATTTACTAACGTGTTTTGATTATTTGTCTTAGCAAAAAAACACAAAAAAATGACAGATAATGGTTAACAACACACAATCTTGAGGCCCAAGGAGACCAGCCTCGACACGAGGATTCAATCAGCGACACTCGCAATGAGGAAAATGACACTATGCCGGTCCACGACCGGCAAAACCCGCGACATGTTCGGGAGGCGACTCCTGCTGATGCTGAAGAGGGGCATGTTGTTGAAGCGATACGGGTCCTGCAAGAGCAACAAGCGATCATTCTAGGCCATCTCACACGGCAGGATAAGGTTATGACGGAATTGAAGCATGCATTATTGGGGGCTTCCAATAACGCGAATGGACGAGGTCTAGTTCCTCCCGGTGCTCTCGGGAATCAAACAACGCAGAGGATCGACAACAACACCCCAGGGGCGAAGTTGGCTCCAATGGGGCTGGGGGGAGTAGATTCGGCCCCAACAACGAGAATGATCCTTTCAAGAGCGAACTTTTATTGTTTATGAGGGAAGTGAATGCCCGCATGGACCAAATCCCAGGTGCGCGCCACCGGTGCTGAAAGGACCGGACTCAAAGAAGTATACTCAGCTTCCTTACAAACCAAGCGCGGAACCAGAATAAGTCTCGAAGCGATTTAAAATGCCTGACGTGCCGAAGTAAGATAGAACTTCGAACTCTCAAGAGCATATTACCACCTATACAACAGCGGTAAAGGGGAGCGATTTAGCTCCCCACGAGATTGAATCTATTTTGTTGAAGAAATTCGGAGAGAGGAGCCTTGACGTGGTATTCATTGTTACCCAAGCATTCCATAGATTCCTTTGAGATGCTCACGAACTCTTTTATTAAGGCCCATGCCGGGGCCAAAAAGGTGCAGGCCCAAAAAGCCGACATAGTCAGAATTGCACAAGGAGAGTCTGAGTTGATGCGAGAATTGCATAAGGAGAGTCTGAGTTGCTGTGGGAATTCGTAACCCGGTTCCAAAAATAGAGGATGTTGCTCACGACTGTTCTAGATGAATGGGCAGCTGAAGAATTCACCAAGGGTATGAATCCGAAAATTTTAGAGGCTTCTCGGAAATTGAAGGAAAGCTTGCTTGAGTACCAAGCAATGACTTGGGCGGATGTCAACAACCGGTACGAGTCTAAGATAAGGATTGAAGATGATCAGATTGGCTTCCCGATGCCGGTAAAAGGACGAGAGAAGAATAAAGAAAAATCAAAAGATGATTTCAACACAGATAGACGGTCTTCGAGGGGCTGGTTTTTACCCTATGAATGGGCCGAAGGACACAGCAGAGGTTTTCGATCGGCCGACAGGTTCGTTACCGGCAGAAGAACTGATCGCGGTAGGAACAACAGATCCTTGCAGGACAAAGAAGCATCAGGTACACAGGATCCTTCCAACCCCATGCTATCATAATACAATTTCAACGTCAGTGTAGTGGAGTTAGTATTAGCTACAAGAAACATTAAAGAAGCTCGGCTCCCAAAGCCGATGAGGTCCGATTCTTGCTAGAGGGATCTCACTATATGGTGCGAATACCACGGGTTGAATGGCCACCGGACTGGGGACAACGGACATATGCGGGAAGAAGTGGCGACACTATTGAAAAATGGCTATCTCAGGGAATTCTTAAGTGACCGGTCCAAGAATAATTACGGTCGCAATTGTGATAACATGGAGCTCTCAAAAGCAGGAGAAGATCCCCCAGACAAGACTATCAACATGATCTTCGGGGGGAAACGAAATCAACGGGGTCACCTTCTCGGTAGCAAAAAAGACGAAGGTATCAATAACCCATAGCAAAAGACTCCAGGAAGTCGCTGAAGACGATATCACTTTCACGAAGGAGGACGCAGACGGGCTATTGCTACTACACAATGATGCACTGGTAATTTCTTTAAGTGTATTAAATTTCAAAATCAAATGTGTTCTTGTGGACCTAGGAAGTTCAGCCGATATCATGCAATGGAGAGTATTGGAACAAGACAAACTCACAGAAAGCATCATTCCGGCCACAAAACTCCTCGCTGGGTTCAACCTCGCAAGCTTGACAACCCAAGGAGAGATCTTGCTGCCCACGAGCGTTGAAGGGGTGATGAAGACGACTCTTTTCGAAGTGGTAGACTGTGACATGGGTTATAATATTATTCTAGGAAGACCATGGTTGCACGAGATGAGAGACGTACCGTCAATGTATCATCAGTTCCTAAGATTCCCGACACTCGAAGGAATCAAATAGATAAGAGGCAACAAACCGGCGGCAAGGGGGATAAATGCGATTTCGATCTCCAGTATAAAGGTAAGGAGCATGCGGCATAGCAATTACAGGTTTCGGTGCCTACTACCAAATTGAGTGAAGTTAGCCAGGGGGAAGAAGCGTCGAAGTCTTATCAGGTGCTGAGATATTTCCAGGTACCAAAAGAAACGGATGCAACAAAATCCACATCGGAAGTGCTCGAGTAAGCTGCATTATTTGAAAAGTTCTTAGAAAGGAAATTCCACTTGGGGGCAGGGCTACACCCCGAGCTCAGGTCTGGCTTTATTGAATTTCTTAAATATAATGTCGATTGTTTCGCATGGTCGCATGCGGATCTGAAAGGCATCCCAACGGAAGAGGCCGTACACAAGCTAAGCTTAGATCCCAACGCCCTCTGGTAAGACAAAAGAAATGCCCAATTGCGGAGGCCAGGAATAAATTCGTCAAAAAAGAGGTAACTCGCCTCATTGATATCGGTTCGATTGGAGAGGTGATCATCTTAAGCATTTACAAGAAACTTTTGAAATCCTAAGGAAGCATTACACGAAGCGTAGCCCCGAGAAGTTCGTGTTCGGGGTTAGCTCCGGCAAGTTCTTAGGTTTTCTGGTATCACAACGGGGGATTGAGGTAAGCCCCGACAAGATCAAAGCCATCGAATACATCCCGGACCAGCTGTCAAGCGTGAAAAGAAGTACCAAACGGCTCATAGGGTTATTGGCTGCTTTGAGCAGGTTTTTATTTCCCGGTTAGAGAAATGCCACCGTTTCTTGTGCACTGCTCAAAATAAAAACAAACTTCGGAGTGGACCCCAGAGTGCCAACAGGAACTTTGAGGGATTTGAAAAGGTACTTGTCCAACCTCCGTTACTATTCAAAACCAAGGAAGGTGAAATATGTTAGTTTACTTGCAGTTCTGAGGTAGCGGAACGCCGGTTTTATTTCGTGAGGGATTACAAAATCTTCCAATTTATTACGTTCAGTAGAATATTAAAGGAGTAGAAACTCGCTACCCGCATTTGGAGAAGCTAGCCTTAG